CATTAAAATTGACTCCTAACGGAGGTCAAGTGATCAGGAAAATCATTATTATTTCCACTGCTGCATTATGCATTGAAGTAGAAAACACAGTCTGGGGAACCCAAAGCCACAGATGACTCAAAGGAACCATGAAGCATTCTCCTTAAACCTTGCATTTTGCATTCAGAGGCTTTGCCATCATTCTTGCCAACTCAAACCATACAAGTAGTCAGGATTACTCTCCATGGTATTTGCCTCTGGTGGTTCATTGAATGTCTTCACCAAAAAATTCCAAAGAAACTAGGAAGTGAACAAGAGCCAGAAAGGTAGGTAACTTACATTTTCATATGGGAAACAAATATATAAAACTTTAAGCAAAATTATTTTTCACAATTTGATCAGGAAATCATGAGGAATTCAGGGTCAACTACCACTGATAATCATAAAAGACCTTATACTTGTCAAGGATTTTATTATTTTCAAAACATTTTCAAACACAAATTCATAGCATGTTAGAGCTAGAAGGAACATTAAAATTCATCCAGTGTCACTCTCTCTTTTAATGTATTTATTCTATCTATTGTTATAAGCTTTTATTGAAATATACAAAAAATATAAATCTTAATTATACAGATTAATTTTTATAAAGTAAGCACACCCCCATTACCATCACCTAGATCAAGACTCAGAGCATTATCAGCATCCCAAAAGTCTCTCTCGTGTTTCTCTTGGTCTTCTACCATTATTCTAATTTCTATCACCATAGATTAATTTTCCCTGTGCTTGAACTTGATATAAATGTATTCTCTTTTATTTCTGGCTTCTTATTCAATCTTGTATGTGTGAGATTCACCCATTGTGCTTGGTGTTGTAGTATTTTTTTCTTATTAATTGCTGTGTGATATTCCATTGTATGAATATACCACAATTTATCCATTCTAATGTTGATGAACATCTAGATTATTTTTAGTTTTGTGCCATTACAAATAATACTGCTGTGAACATTTTGCACATGTCTTTTGGTGCAAATGTGTGCATTTCTGTTGGGTATATGCATAGTAATGGATTTATTAGGTCATTGGGTACACATATATTCAACTTTAATTGATACTGCCAGTTTTCCAAAGTCGTTGTACCAATTTACACTCCAGTCAATAGCATATGAGAGTTCCACTAGCTCCACTCTTTGACAATACTTGCTGTTGTTGGTCTTTTTAATGATAACTATCCTGATAAACGTGTAGTGGTAACTCATTGTGGTTTTAATTTGCATTTCCCCAATGACTAATGATGCTTGCTAAACAAGTCAGTATACTATTTGGTGAAATACCTGATCAAGTCCTTAATTTTTAATTAGGTTATCTGTCATTTTTTATTTATCCATGGGAGTTATTTATATATATTCTAGACACAAGTCCTTTGCAAGTTATGTATATTATAAATATTTTCTCCCACTCTAATTTGCCTTTTATCTTAATGAAGTTTTAGATGAATATAATTACTGTATTTCAATAAAGACTGAGAGAGGGCTCAAATTACCAACGTGAGGAATGAAATATCAAGAATTAAAAAGGAGGCATCACTACAGATATTATGTGTTAAAAAGATAAGAGGAAGATAATATAAACAACTTTATGCCAACTCTTTTGCTATGATAGTGCATGCACTATCTATTTTCATTGTACAAGCTATCAACACCATACAAATTTAAAGAATGAAAAATTAGAAAATCATTTCTCTGTTGTTACTTCTCAAATATGGAAAGATATCACTTCATTTATTCAACATTTGTTTACGACATCTAAATGTCAGATATTTTATGAAGGGATAGGGACATAACAATGAACAGAAAAGAACAGTCCTTATTCTCATGGAGTTTACAAACCCATGGGAAAAAAACAAACATTAACAATCACCCTAATAACTCATTACCATTATGGCAAGTGCTACATAGAATAGCTACAGGGTGCTATACATGTGTATAAAAGGGACTATTTAGAGTAGAGGAGCAAGCAAAACTAATCTGAAAGAACTACATATAAGCTGAGACTTGAAGTATAGTTATAAGTTTGCTAGGTATAGGGGGTGGAGGAGAAGGGAGGATGAGAAAGGGAAAATTCAGAAAGAATGAGCACCCCTCCCCATAACACACACACATACATGCATACATGCACACAGCCTACCTGGTACAATATGACCCAAAGATTCGACTGCTCCAGATCAAAGTTAAGAGGATGCTGAGTTCTAAAGCCAAGGCAAGAGGAAACAAAGCTATATTACTGTTCTACAATGGAAGTGACTCTGAGGTTTGGAAAACAGAGATATTGAAGTACCTAGAGCTTCAAGACAGTATTCTCAAAACAGACAGGGTTACTGGAGTTTTACAGATTCTACAAGTAGTGTATATAGACACCCTGTTCCTTGACAGTGCCCAGGGAGGTGACAGGACATCGGAGAAAAATGGCAACGTGATATCCAAGACTAGACCCAAACCAGTTCAGGACTCCCAGCCTGGACAGAATCCCCTGTACCTCAGTTTGGTCCAGAAGCAGCAGAGCTGCTAGCCTTGAAGAGATCATACAGGCTTGGACAATGAGTATGTCAGTGATGACCAGTGTGAAAACTGAAGACCTGAGGATTCCCTGTGATGGTCCAAGATGCTTAGTACTTAACGTGGACATGGAGGCCTCAACAATGACTGAGATTAAATGTTCTATGAAATCTGGGTGGAGGGTATGGTATCTGAGCAGATTGATATTTAGAGAATAAAAGAAATATTTATTTCACTCCATATTTTGGGGTAAAATGCATGCCAACTACAAGATTTAATATTGGGAGAAAGTAGTAGAATCTACTCTGGGAGAAAGTAGAGTCTCAAAGCAGTTTGGGCTGAGCTATAAGTATCTTTGATAGGACTACCTTTGTCATGAGTGGGGATGGAGCAGTTAAAGGTACAGGGCCAGGGCAGACAAATGCTCACTGAATGAAAGAATGAATGGTCCTCGCACTTTCAAGAACCCATTCCAATCTTCAGGAAGTCAGTATTTCTATCAGACCTCCTCTCCCACAAGAGGGACCCATAGAAAGTTTGGCTGTCTTACCTTAATCTATTGCTTCCCAGAAACAGAAGTAAGCTGCCCCAGTGGCCACCAAGGTTGTAGGGGCAAAAATTGTGCTTCATGCTTAACTGAGAAAGAAGCAATTCCTTGAGTTATGTGTCATTAGTGAATCCTAATGTCATTAGGTACAAGAATCAGAATTTGCATAGAAATCATTGCAGGGAATTGTTTCTTCCCCATACCAGTATTGATTTCCCAGCACCATTAGCTGCTTAATGCTACTGCTGTTAATTGATTACTCCAGGGGAGTCCCTCAATAGCAAGCTTCTTCAATTGAGATGCAAGGATATTCGTTGAATGTGATTCAACAACCCCAATTGACTCTGGAGACCTCTGCCTATCTATAGCATAATCACAGCAGCCTCACACAGTTTAATAAATAACATGGTCCTTCCAAATGCAATACTCACGCTATAACTTAGTTAAAAATATAAACTTGTCTGGTTCTGTTTATCTGCTAAAAATCAATGATCAAGTCATACATTTGTAAATACGTGTACAGTTGGGAGTCTGAGAGTTATTTTAAAACTTCTTCTTGTTTTGATCTCTGAGTATGTATGAAGACTCTGAAATGCCTGAGTTAACTCTCCCACCTTGGTAAGTAGTTGAGTGGCTATAGCTAGACTCTACTTTGCCTAACTAGGTATATCACAGTATTTGGAACACCACTGTCACTACCAAGCACTAGAAAAGTTGAGAAGTGTTGGGTTAAAAGCATACTGAGGCGAAGACAGCTCAGGAGCACTTCAATGATTTACCCAATTCCCCAGCAGGAGCTTTTTGTTTGTTTGTTTTTGAGACAGGGCCTTGCTCTGTTGCCCAGGCTGGAGTGCAGTGGTAGTGGTAGTGGTATGATCTTAGCTCATTGCCCCTCAACCTCCCAGGCTCAAGAGATCCTCTCCCACCTCAGACTCCCAAATAGCTGGGACTATGAGTGTGTGCCACCACACCCAGCTAATTTTGTTTATTTTTTGTAGAGACAAGGTCTCACTGTGCTGCCAAGGCTGGTCTCAAACTCTTATGCTCAAGCGATCTTCTTGCCTTGGCCTCTCAAAGTGGTGGGATTACAGGCCGAAGCCACCACACCTGATCAGCTTTGTTTTCTGATTCACTTTTCTCCTCAATGTTGTCCTCAGGAAAAAGGATCTTGTTCATCAATTCAATCCAATTGACCAAATATAGTGTGCCTTGGTAGAATTGATAGAAATGTCGGCCAGGCACAGTGGCTCACACCTGTAATCCCAGCACTTTAGGAGGCCAAGGCAGGTGGATCACGAGGTCAGGAGTTCGAAACCAGCCTGACCAACATGGTAAAACCCAGTCTCTACTAAAAATATAAAAATTAGCCGGGCATGGTGGCATGCACCTGTAATCCCAGCTACTCAGGGGGCTGAGGCAGGAGAATCGCTTGAACCAAGAGCAGAGGTTGCAGTGAGCCGAGATCATGCCATTGCACTTCAGTCTGGGTAACAGAGCAAGACTCCATCTAAAAAAACAAAAACAAAAAGAAGAAAGAAATGTCAACTCACAAATTCAGATACACAAGAATGTTTTTTCTAATATCTCAATCTATTTTGAGCCCCCATTCCTCCAAATAGTATAAACCTTAACTCCAGTCAAGCACTCCCCACAATCTCTGGGACTGTGGCTAAGACAAGCAGAAAGTGTTTGATCTTCAGTTGCCTGCTGTTGTTCACCCTGGAATCCACTGAAAGGTGCATTGTCATGTGTGGCCTTGGTTTTCTCTTTGCATGTGTTCTAGGGATATTCAAATTCCACCCAGGCATCAGTTACAGATGCTCAGATCACTGCTGTGCTTCCTTAACCTTGAGATAAAGTTCTCTCAGGTCTCAAGATGTCCTTGTGGGTATTTAGAAAACACTCGGTTTTTCCAATACCTCCCCAGAGTCTAGGGAATTGTGAGGTGGTCTCAAGGCCTGTCTTCTGACATATAATATGTGCAGTCGACACTACTGCTCTGGTGTCAGGCTAGGTTCAGGGGAACTGCTCAAAAACCTCTATGTGGGGGAGAGGCAAGGAACAGTCTTATCTGCTCTCAGATTTCTCTACTCACATGCCCCATTGAGGGTTGTATTATTAATATTTTTTCAATTTGGGTCTTGGTCCACAACATCATGTTACAGCACCTCTGTTAAAGGACTCACTAAGGACTCACTCTTTTGTTCTAATTCTCACTTTTCTCATATCTGATAGAATCTTCATCTAGTTTGGGGAAGAGGAAAACAGGCTTTAACTTATCCCGTATCCTTTCAAATCTAGTGTGTATGTCATGAAGTGCATCTTCTGGGTTCTTTAGGACTTGGGCCTTTGAAGCTCGAAAGCTCCAGTTCCTGAAAATCGAAATAGGCTTTTAAAACTCAAAGGCTACGAATTTACTTTTTTTTGGTCTTCTGCTTTTCTATTATAACAGCCTTTCTCTTAGGTGATGAATGTGTTTGCTGACTATTGAAAGGGCTAGGTATAAGCACACACACAGACACACAAACACACACAGGATAATTTATTAAAACATTATCCCAACATCTTACTATATATTAAGGCCATGGTAGAAACTAGAAGAGGCAAAAGAAAAGACACAGTCCATGTGCTAAAGAGAATATAGTTTCATTATGGAGACTATGACTTATATATCTGAGACACTCAAAAAATGCATCACATATAATCCAAGCATAGCTTAAGTGATACACTAAATGCTGCAAAGAAGCCAAATAAGAGGGCTATCAATATGAACCATAGGGGTCAGAGACAATCTTTTCATAGAAAAGATTGACCTGAAAGGAGGAGTTTGAAAGAAGGTAATAAATAATTTCATTTTGAAAACTTTTCTCCAGGCAAGTGTCATGTCCCTTATATTAGGCTTTCTATGGTATTTTCACTGTCCCTCTGTGGTTTTGATAAAAAAAAAAAAAGAAACCCTACTCATGTCTTTCAAAACCTAATGTACCCAAGAGCTCAATTCACTTATTCAACACATACTTATTAAAGACCTATCATATACTGAGCCCCATACTAGGTAGCATTGGGGCTATTTGCATAGACCGAGAACAACATGGATCTTTTACCAAGTGGAAACCATATGATGGGAAATGTCATGTACAGCAGTGGTTCTCACACTTGATTGGGCCTCAGAATCACCTGGAGGACCTGTTAAAACACAAAGTGCTGGGCCTCACCTGCAGGGTTTCTGATTCAGTAAGTCTGAGGCAGTACCTGAGAATTTGCATTTCTAATGAGTTCCCAAATGAACTGACACTGCTGGACTGGCAAAAACCATTGATATAATGGTTAAGAACCCACAGGATTTATAGTCAGCCAGACCTGGGTTTGAATCCCACCTCTGGCACTTATTAGACATGCAACCCTGAGTACATTATTTAGCTGATTAGAGCTTTGGGCTTTTTAATCTGTAACTTGATACAACAAGATTCAGCAAAGTTTTTTTAGATATACTGTGTGTCTAGGTACAAGGAAAATAGCAATGAATAAATAGACATAAACCTGTGAGGGTGACAACCACTAAGCACAACCACCTAAAGTACTGCATGATTAGCATTGTGATCAGAACTGTGAAGAAGAAGGGCAGGGAGGGGGCTATGAGAAGTGAAAACAAGGAAACCTTATCCAGACTGAATGGTCAAAGAAGACATTACTGAAGCTGGCTGATGTCTGAACCGTAAGCAGGAGGACCCGTGCTCATTAGGAGGGGTGGTGAGGTAGGGCTGCTAGTGTTTGGAACTGTTTGATGGGCAAAGGATGGCGTGGCTGATGGTAATGTGTGGGGCTTTTGAGTGTGGCTAATCAGCACTGGTAGAGAGATGGGCCAAAGCGGAGCATGGGTTATAGAAGGGGTGGATGAGGTTGGTGGTGATGGATGGAGCTAGAGGGTGTGGTGATATGCATGACAGTGGGGAATAGTGATGAAATGATCAGGATATTGGAGAGGTAACGCCGATGAAAGTGGTGCACAGGAGGTGGTGAGCTCGCTGGTCACGGTAGGCAAGGTTAGTGGGTGTGACTTGTAAGTGTAAATGATGATGGTCAGTAGAAGCATTATAAAGAATAAGGGGTCATTTCTTTAGACAAATCAGAGAAGACCTTCCTGATGTTGTGACATTTAAATTGAGACTGGAAGAATGAAAAAAGGGGTAACATACACTCTGAGCAGAAGGAATTACAATGTGCAACAGCTCTGAGAGACAGTAGAGACCTGAGGATTTCACAGAAAACCAGTGCAGCTAGAGTGCCAAGAGTGAAAGGAGAAATGGTGGGAGATGAGGCTAAAAAGGCAGGCGAGAGCCAAACCATGCAGAACCTTCTAGAGATTAATAACGCATCTGGTCTTTATCCTAAGAGCAATTAAAACAATGCGATCAGCTTAGAGTGTTGAAAAGCTCACTCTGGCTATATTGTGAATAATAGACTGGAAGAGGCCACTAATCAGGAAGAGTTTGAAGAAAATAATTCAGCAACACAGCACTGAGTCATATTTTTCTACTGACACAGAAAATATATACCTTCATAATCGGAGCCCTTCCATGTCTTTCATCCCCAGTGTCTAATTCCTTGCCTGGTATCCTAGTACTGGAACTAGATTTCCTACACACAAAAAATCTGTTTCCTAGCCTGAATCTGGAACTGAATCCCTAATACCCACTTCCATCATTCCTTGATAATTCACCAGCTGCTAATCTGAATGAACTTTGGCAATTGCCAACTACTTAGATGGCCATTGGTCAACTGCCTCACTCCTGCTTGGCCAATAGCCAGGTTCTTGGTTCAGTTTGTCACCGGGGATACTTATTCTCACATTTTACCTGCTCTTATCCCTCTTAGGTCTGATATGATTCTGAACCTACTTTTGGAGTCAAACCACCATGTACTCAACCCTGTAATAATCAAATCATTAAACCTTGGAATTAAATCTTTGTGTTAGTCCATTTTTATGTTACTATAAAGGAATACCTGAGACTGGGTAATTTATAAAAAAAAGAAGTTTAATTGGCTCACAGTTCTGTGGGATGTACAAGCGTGGCATCAACATCTGCTTGGCTTCTGGTGAGGGCCTCAGGAAGCTTACAATCATGGTGGAAAGTAAAGCAGGAGCAGGCAAGGTATGTCACATGGTGAGAGCAGGAGAGAGAGAGAGAGGGGGGAAGTCCCAGACTCTTTTAAACAATCAGATCTCATGCAAACTAACTGAGCAAGAACTCACTTATCACCAAGTGGATGGTGCTAAGCTGTTCATGAGGGAGCTTCCCCCATGATTCAATCACCTCCCATCAGGCCCCACCTCCAACATTGGAAATTACGTTTCAAAATGAGATTTCGAGGTGACAAACATCCAAACCACATCATACTTGTCCCAGCCACAGGCTTCTCCTGACCAAGGAAAACTTCCTGAATTCCCAGGTCTTGTCTATTCACACTGTGGCCTGTTCCACCACCACCCAAGCCCTGGTTCTAACAGCAGGTATTGTCAAAGGGCTAGAACATCATTTAATAACAAACATGGCCTGGGAATTGAGAACATATCATGTCTTGCTATTTGAGAATTTGATGTGGATTATTTGACATTCTTGGGCTCTTGTGATTGTGCAACTTAGACCTGGAAAACAAGTCATAGGTGCTCCTTTACAGTACCTGAGCTCACTTGTCCAGTTCCTAAGAAGCCAGCACTCATATTTGGATGGATTTGCCTCAGGCATCCTGATATCATAATAAGTGAATCTGTTATATATCCTAGGCTACAGATCCTTTCTTGGATGGTATTGACTGTATTGACTCTGAGGCAAGGGACTTAAGAAACAGAAAATCTCTCCTTTCTGGGTTGCTCGAAGATCATATTACTCATGTAGATCTGACATGCATCTATAAAGGCCCAACTGATCAGATCCATGCTTCTCATTTTCATCAAACTACAAGTGGATATGGGGCTTGTGGAGCTGCTAATGGGTTCAAAGACCCTCACTTTTCTGGACTTTTGTTGCAGTGCTCTGGGAGTGAGATCAGAGGTATGGAAAAGCAAGTGATGGAGTATATTCATTGCAGACACAGAGAGCAGGTTTTGGGATTGAAGATCCTTCATCTGTAAATCTGCTCTTTCTTATTATAAAGGCCAAAATACCCTGGAAAGTGTGCAGTGTAGAGGATAATTGTCTCTCAGGGTCATCTCATAAAGAATCTGAGAGGTCTCCTAATCAGGGTCTAATGGTGGCTTTGGTGCCAGGGGCTGGGTGGCAATGGTTTACAGATTAGGGCAAAGAATTCTTGGAAGGAGGAAACTCAAGGCTGTAAGAAAGAAGAGAAATGTGCCTGGCAGGCAGCCCAAAGAGCTGAAGTTAGAGGAGACCAGGAGTCCAAAATAGACAGTAGAAGTTGGCGGATATTGGAATACCAAAAGGAGACCAAATACTACAAGGGTAGACCAAAGAGAAGTCAGTCTCAAGTCAGAGAGTTTGTAAGTCTAGACAAGTGCAAAAAGTTCTTTCTTTAAGCTCACCAGGAGCTTTATGGAACAGGCTTGAAGGTGGATTAGTGACATAGGTGATGCTCACATCCGAAGTACTGAGTTTTTCACTGGATGAAAACTCAAGAAGTGTGATAAATGGGATTTTGTTTTCAGGCTCTGTCCCTTGTGGCATCCTCTCATCCCAGGTATCACTTGCTGGATGCAGCCACACAGATCCCACCCATCAATTTCATGCCCCAAGGCCCAGAAATCCCTGCATCTTGTGTCCTCTTCCGTGCTCTCTGCTAGCCAGTCAGAAAAAGGCATAACAGGCTGAATGTTGCCTAACACATTTCCCTTTGCATTTCAGTGGAAGTTTTAAAAGCTTCCACAATTGTTAAAAACAATTGTGTCCTTCATTGATATCATCCAAAGCAATACTTCTAATTTGGGACATTTCTGGCTCTACAGCATATCTGGGAGTATTTGGGAGAGAGTTGGCTTAAAACAACACAAATGTATTCTCTTATGGTTCTGGAGGTCAGTAGACTGAAATGGGTCTCACTGGGTTAAAGTTGTGGTGCAGGCAGGGCTAGTTCCTTCTAGAGGCTCAGAAGGGAAAATCCATTTACTTGTCTCTTTCAGCTTCCAGTGGCCGCCTGTATTCCTTGGCTTTTGGCCCCTTCCTCCACCTTCCACATCATCACTCTAATCTCTGCTTCTGTCATCATATCTGCTCCTCTGCCTCTGACTCTTTCCTCATCTCTCTCATTAGGACCCTTGTGATTACATCGAGCCTACCTGGATAATCTGGGATAATCCTTCTGTATCAAGATTCTTATCTTATTTGCATAGGCAAAGTTTATTTTGCATGTAAAGTAACATATTCACAGTCCATGGATTAGAACATGTACGTATTTGGGACACCATTATCCACCCTACCACATGAAACATTTCGAATTGTATCATGGTTCTGACATTTTCTATTCCTGCACTCAATTTGTAGATTATAGATTTTTAAAAGATGTTAAATAGCTAAGTGCTATCTTTGCCCAATGATCATCATCTTTCAAAGGCAGTCAGGGGCAGGAAGTAAGAGAAGCAGGGAGCAAGTTTTGGGCAAGAAGTAAGAGAAGCAGGGAGCAAGTTTTAAAAGTTCTGCAATGGGACATCTGGAATTGGCCTCTTACCCAATTAACTCCACTGCCAATTAGGACAAGGCTCTGCCTTGTGGTTTCATTTAAAGCCTCATTTAATGACAATTCATTTCAGTCAGTGGTTCTGCTTCTTTTCCAATACAATTTGCTCTTGAGCTCAAATGGTGCTCTCAGCCTGGTTGGAGATTGAAGGCCAGCTTCCTTCAACTCTGGCTTTGATCGAAGAAATGGGAAGTGGACATTTGGAAAATTTATCTGAGAAGGTAGGGAAATTAAAACTGAAGGGAATCCAATTGTTCTTCAGAAATGTCTAAAGAAATTAGAGCAGTGGTGACTCAAAATGACATCCTACTTAGCTTACAAGCTCCCACTTGTTCCACACTCTGTGGGCCAGGAGACAGCCTGAGTCTCTGTGCCCAGAGAATCTTCATAAGCCTCAGAAGCTGAGGGCAAGGACATGATAGTAAGAGAGACACTATCCAGGGCCATCACTTGCCAAAGTTTATGTTCTAGGAAGAAATTTACGTAATAACTACCAATAATTGTATAGTTATTATATGCTAAGCACTGTGTTTAAGCACACTACAAGTGTTTTGTCATTTAACCTAACCTTCATAACATCAATGTAAGGTAATTTATATTGCCCTTTTTTACAGGTTAGTAAACCGAAGCACAGAGAGAGATTGAGTGACTTTCCCAACATCAAACAACAGAGGTAAAATTTGAGCAGTCAGTAGTCCCAAGCCCTCACACTTATCCACTATGCTATACTGCTCCACGTGGAACCCTGACTGGGAAATTCTGTGTTAGATATATGGATGTTTATGGTGCCAAATAGGTCTTACTAAAGCAAGTAAACAAGTGACTAAGGTCATACTTGCTTACTAAGACTATCGTCTTCAAGGATTTCAAGGATTTCCTTTCTGCATTAGGGGAAGTGCACACAGGACACTTCCACCAGATATTCATGAATTATAATATCTGGGTAAAGATTGAGATCCAAGGCCAAAGATAACATAGCATGCATGTTACCATGCAGGAGTAAACCCCTTTCTGGAGACTGTGTCTAGGGTATTAATTTCAGCAAACATCTTACATAGAACAACCCCCAATTTTCATATGCATTTTTTGAAAGCCCTCTACATCTTATGAATTGAAAGAACCATAGATCTCTCATCCTCCAATCAAAAGCTTCCAGAGATCATCTTTTTCCAACCACCCAGACTTGTTCAGAGGTATGAAGACATCAAGAGCCTTGGAAGGGGAGAAAGAGGAAGAGGAGGAAGAAAAGGAGGGAGTAGAGGAAGCAGAGGAGGAGGGAGAAGAGAAAGGAGTGGAGAAAGTAGTGGAGGAGGAAGGAGGAGGCATGTAAGTACCTTCCTGAGAAGATTTGGAGAAGGTTCTAATTTGGAAGATTGATCATAGGAGCCAGCTAAAGTTGTGCAAGGCATCACCTTGATAGAGGCAAGACACTGTCAAGCCTTGCTCATTAGGGGCTGCTCCTGTGCCTCAAGCCAGCACCCCTTGCCTCCATTATATATTGTCTCAACTCTTGCAGGTTTGGGTCATTCATTCAGACCTTTATATTAAGAACAAACTATGTGCCCAGCACTACACTAGACACTGTGAGGGATACAAAGATATACAGGACAGAATCCTGCTCAAGATAATACATCTATCTTGCTATTTGTAGTCCCCAGTAAGTACAAGAACCATAGAAAACTACAGAAACAAAAGATGAAAATTGTTTCAGTGATCAAGTTCTCTTAACTCTGGATCATTTTCCCTTTTTCCTATTATTTCCCTGTTCCCTCTACTCCACAATTCCTCTATTCCTGATCTCATTCTTTGGACAGATACTGTCCTTCCTCTCCCCTCCTCAAGTTACAGGCCATTTTTATTTTTCAATATCTTCCTGCTGTTTCGTGAAGATTGACCCTAACTTCCCCTAATACCTGATACCTTCAACTATTCATAGGCATTCACTATCCCAATCCTGACACATACACCAACAACAGCAATAGAAACAGTGCAGCCTGCAGTTTGAATTATGAGACCATGTTAATCAAAGAACTGGCAACCACTTGGTGGCAGCATACTCAAATTCAAATAAGAGGAAATATTTTTAAGTGAGAAGGAACAGCCTGAATTAACAAAACTAAAGTTAGAAAATGCCAGATTAGCAAAGCTAAAGTTAGAAAATGATAACCATGCCACATCTGTAAAATAGTATCAGTTGCACTCAGGAAGACTGAATTGAGAGTGTGTTGCAGTCCTGACAACAAGAAAGGAAAGGAAAGGAAAGGAAAGGGAAAGGGAAAAGGAAAGGAAAAAGGAAAAAGGAAAAGGAAAGGGAAAAGGAAAAAAAAAGGACACGAAAAATGTTATGGAGCTAAGGAGTGCATCTTCAAGGCTATAGCCATAAGAAAGAGCCCTAAGTTTTAATGTTTTAGCACTAAAAACAGACAACCCTTGTGTCTCCATATTCCCTCAAAGAAAACTGGATTGAGACTAATCAAATAATCCAGACCATTGGAAACAATGATAGACCAAATGAAAATGCATATATAGACATTTTTGTTTCTGGTATAATGGGCCATTAACAATAGGATACTTACAAGAAAACAAGAAGCAAGTGTGTGCCATTGGGAAATGCACTCAGGGATTCATATCCTCTTCTGGAATTGGTATCAAATGCCAAATAAGCTCCCACTGATGCTGTAGGCAGTAGGCTGGTGTAGATAACCTCCTGGGGCTATTGATTTCTACAAAAACAGAGACTATATTCTAGTTCTTCAGCCGCCAAAACATGATAATTATTAGCAGCCCAGCACAACCAACTGCCCTGATATCTTGGGAAATGTGGGACTAAGAATAGCTTTGTAATTGGCCCCTTATTTAATGATGTCCAACAGATTAAGGAATGTATATGCTTTGCATTCTAGAAGCCTGAAAAACAGTTTCTTCCTCTCTCATTAGAGCTTTCCTATTTCTAGGAGAGTAAGTCTATTGTTTTCATCTATAAGAAGACATCCAAGGCAAGTTCAATGATAAAAAGCATGGAGTATTTTAGCTCAGCTGGTATGCATATAACCAAAGTAAATCAAAAATATATATTGAGCCCGTACTATGTACCCATGCTTGTGCCAGCTGCTACAGGGTAGAGAGAAAAAATATTGGCATGGTGCCTCTCTTGCATGCTTATGATCTAGTTGGGAGATAAAATTAACATGTAAAACAATTCAACAAAAGACTAATGTGTTTTGAGTTGGATTGTTCAGAGGCTAGGTGCTACAGTGGTAAGAAAAGAGGGAAGTGACTGTGGACTAGGGTTGTTAAGAACCTTGAAGGGTGTGAGATTTTACTCTACTTTCAAACTAGCAAGTTGGCCTACTACAGTTTCACGGATACCAGTAGAAAATACAAGACTCCTAGATTAGAGATGAAAGAAAATTTATCACTCACAGCAATAGCAGTGGCCAGAACATCATCATTTTTGCATTGGTTTTGGAGTGCAAATTCCAACAAGGCAATGTGAAGAGGATCAAATGTCATCTGCACATGAAGTGGATTGCATTACAGGAGAGGCACCCTGAACTTAGAGAACTTGAGCTTATAGAATCATTTATAATAGGCAATAAGCATGCCTTCCCTTTGTTCCATAGACACCATCTCTATATTGCCAAGCTTTTCCCTATATAAACATTCTAAAGAAAATAGTCCAGAAAAATGAGCAGTCATTGTCTTGCTTGTAAGACATTCAGAAACACAACTCAATTGTCAGACAAGGTTTTGTGGAGCCATGGTTTTGGTACGGAGTGCATATCACAGCACAAATGGCTCATGCAAATCCATCTCCATTACAAAGCACATGTCCTAAAGATGGGAGATGTCTTAAGATGACCGAGAAAATACAAAACAGTTCAGAGCTTCAAGGGCCTTTGTCTAACCTACTCATCTTACAGAAATGGAAATTGAGTCCTAAAGAAGTCAAGCAATCATAGCATTATTGTAGTATACAACTGGCGCATTTCTTATGTCTGACTAGACAGTTATATTCTATGCCCACTGAGCACTATCCTACTTTTCATAGCAGGATGCTGCTTGGGAACCTCATTAGAAACCAGATTACTACCTGAAGCAAGTTTACACTAATGTATTGACCTCTACAACACTCATTAAATGAACTGTAAATCCAATACACCAAAGTCATTTTCTACTGAATCAAATAAGGCTACAGTCAAAAGAATTACCATTGTGATATACTTAATGCCCGGCATTTTCAGGGAGTCTTAGGCTGGATCATTGCAGATAAAGACAGAAAATTGTAGAGTCATAAAATAATGCTGACTAAATAAGTCACACTGCAAGCAAGCATCCTAATTCGGAACTGGGAGTTTAAAGGCAATAATCGACTCAAATTGATTAGTTGGTGGAGCCATCTAAGGATTCACAGTTCTTTGTTTACTAATCTGTCTGTACTTCACTTTCTCCCAGATTCAAAAGTGCTGTAAATAACACTCCTTACTTTGTCTAAGAATACCTTTGGTCCTTTTCAGTTTGCGTAGCAGCTGAAATGTGGGAACAAGTGAGAGGGAAATGTAACCACTATCAAAAGTACTAAAACAGAACACAAAGTATAGATAGACCTTCTTGCATCTGTGGGGAATCTAGATAAGGATAATAATCCCCAAGCAAGAAAGTTCATTGGATTTAAATAGATTTTCTAGTTGGTTTTCATTAAATCTGGCCCAGAAAGTCAAGAGCAAATGTTGAACAAATAGAAAATCTGCTTGTGAGTTTCTGATTTTGTATGCAAATCCATTTGCGCCACAGGATGAGAAAATATAACTATTTTCAAAACTAGGTGTGTACTGAAACATTAAAGCCAAATATGGAATAAAGTTAAGTGTGTCTCTCAACCCCAATCATCATCCCCCACCTTCTAGGGTTGCAATGTCCTAAGGTTGACTAAAAAGTCATTGCCACTTGTTGCTGGCTTGGGAAGAAATAGTTTGTACTTGCCTTGTGAACTACCTTAGCAGAAGACTAGTTGAGATCAAGGGAGATGATGATCACATTGCACCAGACAGCCCACACCCAAAGTATCTGTATGCAGTTGTGAGCACAATATGTAACAAGTAACCTTAAAAATTGTAGTGTGTCCAGAAAGGAGCAACCGATATGATTAGAGGACTTGGAGTTTTGGCCTTTGAAGACTAGTTGAGAAACCTAAGCATGGTTAGCCAGGAGAAGACTTAGTGGGAAAACATTAGTACTGTTTTCAAATCTTCAGAAGGCTATTTTTCCTTTTTTTCAGGTTTTGAGGTATTATTGGCAAATAAAATTTGTATAAATTTAAGATGTACAACATGATATTTTGACATACATATACATTATGAAATAATTACTACAATCAAACTAATTAGCATATCTATCACCTCACATAGTTACCATTTCTTGTGTGTGATGAGAACACTTAAAATCCACTCCCTTAACAAATTTCAAGTATATAATACCTTATTATCTATAGTCACCATGCTGTACATTAGGTCTCCAGAACTTCTTCTTATAACTGTGAGTTTGTACTCTTTAACCGGTATCTCCCCTTTTCCCCGACTCCACTGGTAACTACACTTCTCTCCGTTACTATGAATTTGACTTTTTAAAAAAGATTCCACATAATAAGTAAGATCATGTAGTGGTTGTCTTTCTGCATCTGACTTATTTCACTCAGCATAATGTGGGAGTGTTACTATTTGTAATAAATTACTTAATCTGCGTGGTTCCAGAGAACAAAGATGGAACAATTGGCATGGTTGAGAACTAAAAAAAAAAAGAAAGAAAGAAAGTAAAATAAATAACTTTCAAATCTTTGCAGCTGTCTAAAAATGGAGTGGGAACAAAGTAGGGCAAGATGAATCTTCTCAGCAGAAGATTTTGTTTACAATGTTACCCCTCCCATAGGACTCAGTACACTCCCAGAGTCTGGACGTCAGGACCTTGAACCAGCATGCTTCCACTAGACACCAGACCCCTCAACCATCTGGCTGTGAAGCCTCTGACTTTTTTGACCCATTAGATGAAGAGCAACCCATCTCTAAGCAGAAGAGTCAGCATCCTACAAATAAAACTTCTTTTTTTTTTCTTAGAAACTTCATTGTTGCGGGAAGTCAGGGACCCCGAATGGAGGGATCAGCTGGAGCCACAGCAGAGGAATTGTGAAGATTTCATGGACTTTTATCACTTTCCTAATAATACTCTTATAATTTCTTATGCCTGTCTTACTTTAATCTCTTAATCCTGTTATCTTTGTAAGCTGAGGATGTACGTCACCTAAGGACTACTGTGATGATTGTGTTAACTGTACAAATTGATTGTAAAACATGTGTGTTTGAAAAATATGAAATCAGTGCATCTTGAAAAAGAACAGAATAACAGCAATTTTAGGGAACAAGGGAAGACAACCATAAGGTCTGACTGCCTGCAGGGTTGGGCAAAAAGAGCCATATTTTTCTTCTTGCAGAGAGCCTATAAACGGATGTGCAAGTAGGAGGGATTTCGCTAAATTCTTTTCCTAGCAGGAATATTAATATTAAGACCCTAGGAAAATAATTGCATTCCTCAGGGGAGGTCTATAAACAGCTTCTCTGGGAGTGTCTGTCCTACGCAGTTGAGATAAGGACTGAAATACGCCCTGGTCTCCTGCAGTACCCTCAGGCTTATTAGGGTGGGGAGAAAATCCCACCCTGGTAAATTTTAGGTCAGACTGGTTCTCTGCTCTCGAACCCTGTTTTCTGTCATTTAAGATGTTTATCAAGACAACACATGCACAGCTGAACATAGACCCTTATCAGAAGTTCTGTTTTGCCTTTTGTCCCGTTTCCTCAGAAGCATGTAATCTTTGTTCTCCTTTTTGCCCTTTGAAGCATGTGATCTTGTGACCTACTCCCTGTTCTTGCACTCCCTCCCCTTTTGAAACCCTTAACAAAACTTGCTGGTTTTGCAGCTCAGGTGGGCATCACAGTCCTACCGATATGTGACGTCACCCCCAGTGGCCCAGCTGTAAAATTCCTCTCTTTGTGCTCTTTCTCTTTATTTCTCAAACTGGCCGACACTTATGGAAAATAGAAAGAACCTACACTGAAATACTGGGGGCAGGTTTCCCCAGTACTTCATATCATAGGATCATAGGACACTGGAGGAAAGGAACTCCTCAAATCATCTAAGACTCCAATTAAGTCCATAGTTTAGACCCCATAAACTGAGGATGCTCAAGAGGGATGCAGAAGAAACACTTGTGGACAATTTGATGTATTACCCCATCAACTGTGATCATCTTGACTTTAATTCTGTACACTCACGAATCCCTTCAAAAATAGAATTTTAACTTTTTTTGTGCCTGTCTGACAGTGTCAGTGGTTTTACTCTTTGCTTTCTTTAGCATATTCTATCAGCTCACTGGAGAGCCAACCTAGGTTGTGACCAAAATCACAGCATCAAATTTTTATGCTCTACAAGCAAGAGTCTCTGACACATGTAGCATAAATAATGCTTCCCATAGCTCCTGTTGAGCTGGGACTCTTCTGAATTATCTCTCATGTCCTTCTTTCAGCTCTTGGTCCATGCAGTATGTTGCAAGCTTCCCCCAGCCCCATTACAAAGGGCCCCATTGCAGGTGTAGTAGCTCTAAACCTACTGTTTACACCACAGGAAACCAAAGAAGTAGATCTCTCTGTCTTGTTACATTTTTCACCCACTTAAGTATGTTGAGTCATTCCATATTGGCTCAGAACCCACTGCACAGTAAAGAGGAGAAACTGGGACATGTTATGGCCTCTTCTACCTCTCTGAATTTTTCTCACAGTGCAGACCTCAGAGGGAAGAGCTTTTCTCCTTACACTTTTGTCTCTCCAAGCCTGGATTCTGACATGCTAAAAAAGAAGATTTGGGAATTTAGAAAAATCTTCTTCTAATAATGTGTAGCTTTCAAAATATTTTCCTGGTATAGAATTCTATTTTAAATGTCAAAAGCTAAAAGTTAATGTTTTCTTTTGCTGTTGTTGTTTTTTTAGAGACAGACTTGGGCTCTGTCACCCAAGTTGGAGTGCAGTGGCACAATCTCAGCTCACTGCAACCTCCACCTCCCAGGTTCAAGAGATTCTCATGCCTCAGCCTCTTTAGTAGCTGGTATTACAGGCATGTGCCACCATACCTGGCTATTTTTTTTTTCTATTTTTAGTAGAAATGGGATTTCACTGTGTTGGCAAGGCTGGTCTCAAGCTCCTGACCTCAAGTGATCTGCCCACCTCAGCCTCCCAAAGTGTTTTCTTTCATTTCTTATTCTCCATCTGATTTCCTTAGAAGTAAATGGATGTCTTAAGCTAAGAAAAAAATGTACCCCAAAACGCAAATGGAAAATCACATTTATGTTTTTTCAAATAATTTCTTATATTACATGTATTATCATTTATTCAGTACTAGTCATGCTATATGCATTTTTATTTTTATGTATATGAATTTTATATATACTATAACACTGTAAAAGTCAGAATTATTTCAAAAGCACTTGAGAGAAACCCAACTCAAACTATTTACGCAAAAACAAAAGTGGGGTTAGGGACTCATAAATTGGAAAGTGCAACAGGTAACCTGCTTTAGATACACAGGAGGATTCAAGAGCATACTTCTCTCCCCTCAACTCCCTTCTGTGTATTGGGTTCATTCTGTAGACAGATTCTTTCCATGTGCAAGGGAAGATAACTGCCCATACCTTCAGGTTTACATGCTTCCAGTTTAGAAAGCCAAACAGAAAAACAGCTTATATTCTCCCCAGCACCCAAAAGTCAATCCAGAGAAGGCACCTCATTGGCCATGCTTAGATCTGGTGCCAACCCCTGGACCAATCACTGTTGCCAAGGGATAGATATTATAAAAGGCCCATTCTAGATTATATGATTATCACTATAGCCAAGGTTGAGGGGCATCATAATTAACAACCCCACTAGGATCACATGGAACGAGGGAAGGACAGTCCCTCAAAGGACACAGAGGGCTGGACATACCAAAACATCAGATTTCAACTTTACAAACATCACCTCAGACCTTAAAATTCTTTAACTTATTCTCATTTAATTCAAGTAAGCTAAATAATTTTCCCAAAATCACATAGCTGTATAAAAGAACAGGAATCTAAAGCCAGTCTTGACTGATTCACAATGCCCTTGTTCTTTCCACTATATCTTACTTTTTTAATGCCATCCCATCCTTGAGTGGTATCCAGTGCCTTCTGCTTCCATTCTTTAACCCCAGTCAAAACATGCTCTGAAATGAGTTGACAAACTCATTCATACTCAGTTGTCTGACACTGAATGACTGAGATTCAGGTATTCCTCCGAGGGAAAATTATAATTTAGCATGTATCAACTTTAGGGAGAAGAATGACTTGACAATTAAGGAGATTAAGAGTCAGACAGATATGAATTACCTTACCTCCATCACTTGCTAGGTATGTGATCTTGGGAAAGTTATCACTTTGAGATTCAGGCTACTCATCTATAAAATGGAGATAATAATTCATAGGAAAACAGAGATGTTGTGAAGATTAACTGAGTTTGTTCTGTTAAAATGTCCAGCCCAGAACCTTTCATACAGCTGGTGTTAAATAAATATTCATTTTTCTGCTATTCAAAAAAAATCCAAGTTTTGTTATTAACCTATAGATGAGGCAAGTTCAAGGAGGGCCAAGGGCCCTTCTTCTTCCTCTGAAATCATATCATATAAATGCCTTATATGTGTATAGCTTTAGCACCTTAATTTTTTTCAAGTATCTTAGCTCTCTTGATCATTTTAACAATTCATCAGGCAGGCAAGGCAGGTTTTGTTAAGCCCTATTTCACTGATTAGAAAACACAGGTTCTAGGAAAGTTGAGTCACGTTGCTAAATATTACTCAGTTAATATCTAACATAACTGGAGCCAGAACTGAGAGTTTTTGTCTTCTAATCCAGAACTGTCTTCTGGTGGATAAGATCATGTCTCTTAGTAGTCATGGTGAGACACAGAGCCATTTCTTTTCTATTTCCCCACATGGAATTTTTTTCTCCTCCTCCCACTTTACTCTCCACTAGGTTACCAATGGCTCACCCAGATTAGAGCCAAGAGAAGAACAGGTAATGAACAAGATAAGTCTTACTTGACTGGTGTATTAGGGTTCTCCGGAGAAACAAAACCAGTAGGATATATATTTTTTCTATTATGTACATATATTACATATATATTATAATATGTACATATAATATTATATATCCAATATACCTGTTATAAGGAATTGACTCACCTAATCATGGAGGATGACAAGTCTCAAAATCTGCAGAATACCCAGGAGAGTGGATGATGGATTTCCAGTCTGAAGGCCAGTAGGCCCAAGACAAGGAAAAGCTGATGTTTCAGTTCAAGTCTGAAGATAGGAAAAAATTAATGTCCCCATTTGAAGGCAATCAGGCAGGACGAATTCCCTCTTACTCACAGGAGGGTTAGTATTTTTATTTTATTCAGGTGTTCAACTGATTGGATGGGACTCACCCACATTAGGGAAGGCCATCTGTTTTATTCCATCTAGGGATTCCAATATTAATCTCATCCAAAACACTCTCACAGACACACCTAGAATAATGTATGCCCAAATGTATGGGCCCAGTCAAATTGACACATAAAATTAACCATCACAACTGGTAAAACATGATAGCTGGTCTTGGTGCATTATGGATGTGATGAATTCTTCATCTCATGGGGAAATACACAGGTTCCTCAGAGATAACTGCTGAGGCCTTTCAACTTGTTTTTGCATGATGCATTTTCTCTGGCTGTCAACTTACAGTTTCTACCCTCAGTTCCTGGACATTGGACTATTCCAGCCCACAGACTCTACACTAGGACCTACCATGAACCCAGTAAGTTCAATTATGCTTGGGCAAAATTCAAAATGGCACCAAGCAGTCACCTTCACACGTGTTTCAAATTTGGTCACAGACAATACACATTCTTGCCCTCTTGTCAGTGAGAAGGAATTTACTCCATATGTAGCTTTTCCTCTCTCTAATCTTCCACTCTAGATCAACACAACCAGTTTCTCTTACCAGAATGTATGCATCCCCCACAAACTCCAGGTTCACATGCCAAGCTCTCTTAGTGGTTTTATTAAAGCACCCTTTCATACTTGGCTTAAGGTGAATGATAGCGCCTTCTCTCTTTCTCCATTTTAGTAGTATAAGAAGTTGCATAGAACACCAATTTTTGCCACAAAAAAATTGCTCTCTCGGGCTCCTTCAGTCTCAATACATTAATATCTTCCAGGTGTGTGTTTGGATATGCATCACAAAATCAGTTTCCTACCACCCTCTTTGGTTAAGATGACAAATTTTATGTTATGTATTTTTTATGACAATAAAAAAAAATTAAACACAGAGAACATAGAAACCCTGGGAGCCACTGCCATCCCAATGAATTTAAATTTAGTCTGGGGCTATTTGTTCTGGTTTTTGTCACAGGTTCCATGAAGAAATTTTTTTACATATAAAAGTATAATAAAAAAACTCACTTCAGTGAAACAAAACAAAAGGGCATCTCCTTTCATTTCATAGTTGGTAACAGTGCTTTTTGTTGTTGTTGAAGTGATATATTTCCCAAAGCAGGGTGATTCTGTCTTAAATGTCACCCCATTAGGAACTCACTTCCTCTGCAATCCTTTGCTTCTAGTGCTTCTCAGCTGAGTGCAGTGCCCTCAGGTCTAGTGAGTGTCTGCTCCATTGATTTTTCCCCTACCAGAAGGTCCACCTGAGGGATGGGCATGTGACTGATTTATTGCTGTATTACCAGTATTCAGCACAGCCTTGCTCACAGGGCAAGGAGCTCAGGCAATGTTTGTTAACTGATCATTATAGGAAGAGAAAGCTGTGTGTTTAATTTACTCAATGACAATTAGGGGATGGTTCCCTGTCCTCCAGGAACTCAGTGTCTACTTGGGAATGTTTTCTGTCCCTCATTATAAGATCCTGGAGATCAGGGCCTGTGTTTTAGTCATCCCTGTATCCTCATCATCTAGCACAATTCTTGGCACACAGAGTTCTCAAACTGTCCCACCTAACTACTCCTAATGGCAGAGGAGAGTAGATACGTATCCGTAAAGGGATATGGGAGACCTCATTTGAAGTGCCCTTTGCAAGCAGAAACTTTTTTTTTCTAAGCGTTTTGTGTGATTATATTATTAAATTTTACAGCAACATTATTAGATAGGTGCAATTATTATTCCCATTTTATAGGTAGAAAAACTGAGATACAGATGTTAAAGGACTTGCTCATTCTCCCACAGCTAGATATGCTGCAAACCTAGAATTCAAACTCAAATCAAAATCCAGACTACAAAAATAAATCCCCAAAAGCAATACCGATTTCAAAATTCTGGTATGTAGTAGGTGCACAATAAATGTTTGTTGAATTAATGAATGGTTCTGAAAATTTTTTTTTCATTTTTTATTATATTTTAAGTTCTAGGGTACATGTGCACAACATGCAGGTTTGTTACATATGTATACACGTGACATGTTGGTGTGCTGCACCCATTTACTCGTCATTTACATTAGGTATATCTCCTAATGCTATACCTCCCCCCTCCACCCACCTCACAACAGGCCCCAGTGTGTGATATTCCCCACCCTGTGTCCAAGTATTCTCATTGTTCAATTCCCACCTATGAGTGAGAACATGCAGTGTTTGGTTTCCTGTCCTTGCAATACTTTGCTCAGAATTATGGTTTCCAGCTTCATCCATGTCCCTACAAAGGACATGAACCCATCCTATTTTATGGCTGCATAGTATTCCACAGTGCATATGTGCCACATTTTCTTAATCCAGTCTGTCATTGATGGACATTTGGGTTGGTTCCAAATCTTTGCTATTGTGAATTGTGCTGCAATAAACATATGTGTGCATGTGTCTTTATAGCAGCAAGATTTATAATCCTTTGGGTATATACCTAGTAATAGCATGGCTGTGTCAAATGGTATTTCTAGTTCTAGATCCTTGAGGAATCGCCACACTGCCTTCCACAATGGTTGAACTAGTTTACAGTCCCCAAAACAGTGCAAAAGTGTTCCTATTTCTCCACATCCTCTCAAGCACCTGTTGTTTCCTGACTTTTTAATGATCAACTTCAAAGAAGTTTCTGCTTGAAAACTGACACGAGCTGAAACTTACTTGAAGTCTTGTGTTCTATCTTAAAACTTCATGCAAGTATTATATTCCACAACACAGCCATCTTTGCTATTAAAAAATGTTTTAGATCACTTAACACTGAATAAAAATCTGCTCCAGAAAGATGCCCATGCAACACTAATCCAAACATTCAGCTAAGCAGGTAGGATGTTCTAGATTCAACTTATCAAGTCCACTGTAAGGCTTGATAACAGTTTTCATGAAGGACCTGGCTTTTCCTGAGGCTAACTGGCACAATTAGGAATGAAGATAAATTGTGCTTCGATTTTTGTCTAAAATGACTTAAAATCATTCTGCCCCAGATGTGAAGAGTGATAAGCTAGGCTGCACACCAGAAACAGGGAAACATAATTTTTCATAGGGGAGGAGTGTAAGGAACTGGGAATGATGTGGTAAGGGCTGGCCTGCCTGGGAACATTTTGTTTTGCATCAGATTTGGGTAAGTCCAGTTTTTGATCACTGGCTTAATCCAAAAGTATCTGCTCTGACAATGGTGGGCCTGCGTGTGTTCGCAGTAACACATTTGGACTAAGGGTGAGGGGACTTGTAAAATGAGAAAATAATTTAAACTGACCTAAAAACAAAGAGGTATGTATGGGATGGAATTATTTGAAATCATTGTTCCACAGGGGAGCAGGGAGAACAGTTGGGGTGAATTGAAAGATAAACTAAAGAAAAATTAAATTGTTTTCAGGAGGCTAATGCCAACTATTCCAAGGCCATTTTTTATTGTTCTCTATTTTACAGCCTTTATTCTGGTCCTTCCTGAGTTCCCAATCCAGGTTATAGTTGGAATCCTAACCCCAAGAGCCATGTCACAAAATGAGTAAATAGTTGGCCACAAATGGGACAGCTAAAATAACATGAAAGATGCATAATAGACCAGAGCTTCTCAACTTTAATATGCCTATGAGTCACTTGGGAATCTTTTTAAAATGCATGTTCTCATTAAGTAGGTCTGGAGTGGGACCTGAGATTGTGCATCTAACAGGTGATCACCATGCCTGATAATCTAGACCTCTTTCCACTAATGCCCACCTCCTGGGTTCACTCTTTCAACTTTGATAGTCCCTATGCAGACTCCTGAGATTTCAGAGGAAAAGTGCAATTTGAATTTAAGGCAATCAATATTTGCTTCATTTTATCATTATATTAAGTGCTCTTTTCTGAGCACTGTGGACCACAAATAATTCTGTCTCCCTAGGCCAAACAGAAATACATCCAGACCCAAAGAAATCAGGCTATAGGCAATAAAGAAAAGAATAACTGGGGTAGAAAAGTTATCTCCAAGTTACTGATGCTCCATGACCCAACATACTAATATAGATCTAACACAATTATGGAGGACAAAAAGAACAAAATTTATCTTACTATTTTGCAAGTACTCCATTAGGAATGTTGACAGAAGTAGCTCAGTTATTACAACTAAGGGAGGTAAGTGGAAAGACTCTAAGCATGCTTCCTGGCACATAGTAACTGCTCAATAAATAATAACCTCTCAGTAAATCTTAAAACTGCCAATGGCAGTTTTCAGAAAGGCAAAGACTGGTTTTGAAAAAAGCAGAGATACATAATCAGAACCAGAAACGCTTAGAAATACAGAGAAAGACTGTAACAGAGTTCTCCAGAGAAACAGAACCACACACACACACATACACACACACACACACTATATATATACATATATGTGTGTGCGTATGTGTGTGTATATATGTATATATATACACGTATATTTATGTATGTGTATATATGTATATATATACACGTATATTTATGTATGTGTATACACACACACACACACACACGCGCGCACACACATACACATAGGAGAGAAAGAGAGATTTTAAGGAATTGGATCACATGATTGTGGGGGCTGGCAAATCCAAAATCTGTAGGGCAGGCTGAGAGGTTGGAAAGTCAGGCAGAAGTTGCTGCTTTAGTCTTGAGGCAGAATTTCTTCAGGAAACTTCAGTTTTTGATCTTAGAGCCTTCAACTGATTAGATGAATTCCACTCACATTATTGAGCATAGTTTTCTTTTACTTAAAGTTAGCTGATTGTAAATAATAACCACATCAACTAAGTACTTTCACAGTAGCACTTAGATTAGTGGTCAATTAAATAACTGAATACTACAGTCTAGGCAAATTGACACATAAAGTTATCCATTAGAGAGATCATTCTAGAT